TACTGGGGTTAGGACCTCAACATACGAATTTAGGAGACACAGTTCAACGCATCATACTTATTCTCTGCATATATGGCTGTTATTTTTCCTTCACCGCATATGCAATAAACCAATATTATAGAAAACTGGCATTTCTATAGTGCTTTATATTTTGAAGGAAGTTTCAGATCCAGATGACAATTTCTTGGATAGAATGGACTCCATCTTATTTATCTTTGGATAGTCAGACCCTAGAGCAGTGCCTTAACCATAACACTTGATAAATGTTCACGGAATGGACTAGTTATTCTCTCATTTTATCCTTTTCCCCTCTCTGTATATTTCCCTGAACATCCAGAGGAATGCATACAAAGTATTGATTCCCTTTGCTTGGTTCAATCCCAAGGCTTCAAGGAGATAAAATCAATACATGTGAGACACTAAAGACCATGATGATTCCTCAGCCCTGAATCCATACATCCAATATGATGGGTGTTTCTTTCAGGCAATGTTCCACAGGGAGGAAAAGGGTAAATGTTTTAGTTCAGTTCTGATAACACGCAGATCTATTTCTGTTTTCTGTCTGACTCCCTGTATATGAGGACTTTCAACACAAGGAAGGCAATTTGTCTTAGAAATGTTTTCTTTCACTTAAGTTTTTGTTTGTTTCTTTTGCTTTCTGAACTTGTAGTTCACTGGCTGAGCCAAATAATTAAATCATGAATCTGGCATTTTAAACATCTAGAATGTATCTTTTTAAAGTTGCCTTTATATGTGGAGTGTATTTGAAACAAAGGTCCAGCCAAAGACAAATCTTTAGACTTGCAGTGAATAGAATTGAGTTCTTATGAAATCCTAGGTGTCATGTAATTTATTTCTACCAATGTACAGTAGACGCATAAAGCCAGTAGCTTGTTTCCCATGAGGCTCGGAGGGGTACTGTACCGTGAAGAGGTTTATGCGGATACAGACCTAGAACTTCAAAGATTAACTCTGTCATGTTGGATGAAGCCCAGGAAAAACTGGCCTCCAAGCTGGGTGACCTTAAGAGTCATATTCATTGTCCTTCATAGTTCAGAGTCATCCTTCTCTACCAAAGGGACATAACTCTCAAGTAAAATAGATAATCACTTCCTAAGTGATATTGCTTCCTAAGAAGTAAACAAACTGGTATGAGGAAAAAGAATAAAGGGACGGAAGGCCCTTTCTCAGTTGCATAGAGGAAGATTTTTGAAGACAGTAACACTTAAGCTGGGATCTAAAGACTAAGAAGAAGTCAGCTTTGTGAAGCTGAATTTACACTTAGCGATAAATAAGGCGAAGGAGAGTGGGATGAGGGAGATGGAGAAATCTTGTGGGACTCCCAAGCGTCTGCCTTGTGCACTTGGCCTGGTGATGCTTACATTCACAGAGTCAGCAGAAAGTGGGGAGAAGGAGAGGTATGCAGGAAAATCAGAAGTCATGTTTTGGACATGTCATGTTTGTGATGACTATGAGAATTCCAAGGAGAGATGTGAAATAGGTAGGTATGAGTCAGGGTCCCAGCAGCAAACCAGCGTAATGTGAGCGGAGGTTAATAAGAGGACTATTTACAAAGGTATGAGCAGAGTTTAGGAAGAACAGAGATGGTGCAGTACCCTGAAGCTGGTGACAGTGGAGAGGCATTCTCATGCCTAGGCCAGAGGAGCAAGGGAAAGAGGCAGTGACTAGATGAGAGAGAGAGAGAGAGAGAGAGTCAGAGTTCAAGTCGGAGTTAGATGGAGAGGGCCTTCTGACAGGACCTGTGGCCTTCAGTAGAGACACAGCCAACCTGAGATGAGCCAAGAAGAGGGAGCTGGGATAATAACTTTACTGACCTCACTCTCCTCGTGCTTTTCAGTCTTCTGCTGGAAGCTTCTATTGGCCAAACCCAGCTGGAAGTCAGAGAGTCTTCTGATGTAGCCCACAAAGGTCAAAGTATCAGGGCAGAGAGGAGGGTCGACAGGAGTTGAGAGTCGATCCAGAAGGACAAACAGAAAATACACAGCAGAAGGCAGTTGGATGTACAAGTCTGGAGCTCGAGAGGTGTTGAGAGATGTTGGAAATGATTGGTATATAGGTGGGAACTAAAGCTTTGGAAATAGATGAGGTCATGGAGGGAGGGAGAATGAGGAGAAGGGACTGAGCACTAAACTCCAACATTAGAGCTTAGCTAGAGAACAGAGAGCACTTTACAAAGGAGATTGAAAAGGAGTAGACAGACACGTAGGAGAAAAAACAAGATAGCGTGGTGTCACAAAATCAAAAATAAGACATGGTTTCAACAGGAAGAAGTGGTTATTTGATACTCTTGAGTCAAATGCTCCTGAGAAGTTAAGTAACAGAAACGTGCCTTTCGAATTTGGCAAGCTTATTCAACAAGTATGCCAAGCACTGTGCTTGCGGGTTGCAAAGATGAGTAAGCCCTTGATTTTGAGGACCTCCCAATCTAGACAGGGAACTGGATCCCATGTTGTGGGATGACTGCTCTGATAGAAATAGGAACAAGTGCCTTTTGAGAGCAGAGACGGTCCTGGGAGAAGTTTCCTAAGAACAATCAATTCTATACATGGTGTATAAATTCTTCAGAATAAGGAGGGCTAGTACTGGAAAAATCTGGCACTTTGAAGAAGAAGAAAATGAAACTCAGAAAAGTAAAACAACTTGGCACTCCTTGACTCAGTACCCCATTGGAAGGATACTGACAATCTGAATACTCTGATTTCAGGACTTCTTGATCAGACCTTCAGAGGATAAACCTACAACCTATGCTTTATTAGAATGAAAGCGTTATTTATTTAAAATTTTTCTGTGAAAGTGATATATTAATGCCAGAAATTCTTAACAATAAATATAAGATAGAGAAGAAAATTAAAATCACACATAATCCACACCCCTAACTTTCCAGTGTGTTTTTCCAGTTTTTCCCTGAGTGCATGCCTGTTTGTATAAACATTTCTCTTTAAAAAATGTTTTATACACAGTCAACAGAATGAAAACCTCAGAACAGGATAAAATATTCACAAATCATTTATCTGATAACAGGTTAATATCCAGAATATATAAAGAACTTCTACAACTGCTCAACAACAACCACCAAAAAAAGGGATCCAATTAAAAAATGGGCAAAGGACTTGAATAGACATTTCTCCAAAGAGATTTACAAATGGCCAACAAGCACTTGAAAAGATCACTAATCATTAGTGAAGTGCAAATCAAAACCACAGTGAGTTGCCACCTCACACTCATTAGGACGGCTACCATCAAAAAACCAGAAAAGAAAAAGTATTGGCAAGGATGTGGAGAAATTGGAACCCTTGTGCACTGTTGACGGGAATGTAAAATGGTGCAGCCTCTATGGAGAACAGTTTGACAGTTCCTCAAAAATTAAAAACAGGGGGCCAGCCCCACGGCCAAGTAGTTAAGTTTGTGCACTCCTGCTTCGGTGACCTGGGGTTTCCCTGGTTCAGATCCTGGGCGCAGACATGGAACCACTCATCAAGCCATACTGAGGTGGCATCCCATACAGCACAACCAGAAGGACCTACAACTAGAATATACAACTATGTTCTGGGGGGGGGGGGGGGAGGGGCTTTGGGGAGAAGAAGAAGGGAAAAAAAAAGAAAAAGAAGATTGGCAACAGATGTTAGCTCAGGTGTCAATCTTTAAAAAAAAAAAATTAAAAACAGAACTACCGTATAACCCAACAATTCTATTTCCGGGTATACATCTAAAAGAATTGAACACAGGGTCTTGAAGAGATATTTGTATGCCTATCTTCATAGCAGCATTATTCACAATAGCCAAAAGGTAGCAGCAACCCAAGTGCCCATCAATGGATAAATGGATAAACAAAATGTGATATATACATACAATGGAATATTATTTAGCCTTAAAAAGGAAGGAAATTCTAATACATGCTATAACATGGATGAACCTTGAGGTTATTATGCTAAGTGCAATAAGTAGTCACAAAAATACAAATACTGTATGATTCCACTTATATGAGGTACCTAGAATAGTCAATTCATAGAGACAGTAGAACGGTTGTTGCCAGAGGTTGAGGGGAGGAAGGAACGGAGGGAGGGATGTTGCTTCACAGTATAGAGTTCTAGTTTTGCAAGATGAAGAGTTCTGGAGATTGGTCACACAACCATGTAAACATATTTAATGCTACTGAACTGCACACTTAAAAAATGGTTAAGATCACAAATTTTATATTACATGTATTTTACTATAATTAAAAACTAAAATTAAAAATTAGGGGCCAGCCAAGTGGCACAATGGCTAAGTTTGCGTGTTCTGCTTTGGCAGCCAGGGGTTTGCAGGTTCAGATCCTGGGCACGGACCTAGCATCACTCATCAAGCCGTGCTGTGGTCGTGCCCCATGTAAAAATAGAGGGAGACTGGCACAGATGTTAGCTCAGGGCCATTCCTCCTCATACACACACAAAGAATTAAAATGTTTTATAATTTGTTTTATTTCATTTAATAATATCAAGTGAACATCTTTTCATATCAATGAACTTTCTTTGTATTATTATTATTTTAGGGGTTACACAAGAGTATTTTATTATCACATAAATTATTTAACCAAATCACTATTTTTGGAAATTTAGGTTTTCTATAAAGCTAAACATCATAAACAAACTGCAATAAACATCATTGTAGCTACATCTTGGCCAAGTGTACAATTATTTCCTTAGAATAAATTCCTAGAATGGAATTGCTGGGTCAAAGGAGTGGGGAGCTGTGTCAGGAGTGAGGTAGGGTGGGAAATGCAAAATGAAAGCTGAAATATAAAAACAAATCAGCAGGGGCCAGCCTGGTGGCACAGTGGTTAAGTTCATGCACTCTGCTTTGGCAGCCTGGGGTTCGCTGGTTCAGATTCTGGGTGCGGACCTACGTACCACTTATCAAACCATGCTGTGGCAGGCATCCCACATATAAAGTGGAGGAAGATGGGCGTGGATGTTAACTCCGGGCCAGTCTTCCTCAGCAAAAAGAGGAGGATTGGTGGCAGATGTTAGCTTAGGGTTAATCTTCCTCCAAAAAAAAGAAAAAGAAAAAAAAAACAATCAGCAGAGAACTGAAGTGGGGTATGATATAAATTAAGTGCTCTACAAAATATTTCTGGTTAGTGAAAGGGAATGTTATTTATCCATTCATTGATTCCTTACATAAATTGTACCACGACTCTGCTATGCACCATTGTCTTAGACACTGTGATATCCAACTGTCTTATTAGACATTCTCTCATCCCTCAAGGAGCTTAAAGACTAGGGAAAAGGAAAGCAAGTAAATGAACTTCAGTGCAGCTTAGTACAGGAGGGAATGGAGGAATGCCCGAGGGCTGATGGGAGCAGAAGTTCACCAATCAGGGCAGACTTCCTAAAGGACATGGCTGTGTGTCAGTGAGCTGAGTTTTTGAGTTTTGAGGGACAAGTCAGAGTTATTTAGACTTCGAAAGTGGATAACTACATGGGGTAGCCCATCCCCAAGATAGCCCCAATAATGCTCACCTCCTGGTACTCACACCTTTGCATAGTCTCCTTCCGCATTGGAGGACGGCTGTTCTGAGGGACCTAGAGAGAACGGCAGAGGTAACAGTGTGTGAACTCCAAGGCTAGACTATAAAAACCATTGCAGCTTCCTTCTTGCTCTCTTAGATTGCTTGCTCTGGAGGATGCCAGTTGCTGGGCCATGAGGACACTCCAGCAGCCCTGTGAAGAGGCCCACATGAAGAGGAACTGAGAGCCAGCACTGACTCACCAGCCATGTGAACAAGCCATCTTCAAAGTGAACCCTCCAGCCCCAGTGAGTGACTGCAGCCCTGGCCAACATCTTCACTGCAGTCTCATGAGGGAACCCAACCCAGAACCCAGAGACACAATACATGTGATTGCAATTTTTAAAAGCCACTAACAAGTTTGGGGTGATTTGTTTCTCAGTTCTAGTTAATGTAACACACTACATCTTAAGCATGTGTGACTGTATCGTTGAAAATTTCTAAAAGTGGGAGATATTTGGAGAGACCCCAGAGAAGGTTACAGGTAGGGGAACAGCAGGCGCTGGGGCTGGAGAGGAAAGCAGGGCCCAGATAACACGCAGCCGTGGTACACACCGCCCCTCTCACCTTCTTCCTTGCCAAGGGGACCAATCTTGTTCACGTCTGAGGTGGCCATTTGGATGAGGTCACACAGGGAGGACGTGCATCTTAAGAAGAGGAGCAGGCTGAGGGGAAAGCCTTGGCTAGGAGAAAACCCTCAAAGGGTGAGCAGAGGAAGAAAATCACAGAAGCCCAAGAAAGAGTAGCCACTCAAGTGGGAAGAAAAAGGAGAAAGTGCGATTACAAAAGCTAAAGGAAGAGTTTCACAAAAGAGGAAGTGGCCAATGGCGTCAAAGGCAACCAAGAAATCAAGCAAGGCCTGAGAACTGGGCACGAGAGTTGTCATGGTGGCAGCCACTTGTGTCCTTTGTGGAAGCAGCTTTGTTGAAATTGTGGGAACTTCAAAAGATTATGGGAGAACCTCTCACTTTATAATACCCAGAGTCCTTACAGCGGCCCACCAGGCCCCCAGCCTTCTAACACTCCATATCCTCTCTAATCTCGCCTCCTTCTCCCCTCCCACTTCCTAAAGAGTCCTTTAGCTAAACTTCCTTTAGCCACAGTGGCCTCTTCCTTGCTGTCACCTCACGTGTCTTTGCCATCTTGCTTCTCTGTGCTTGGACCAGTGTCCCAACAAAGGTCCACACTGTTCCCTCTTTCACCATCTTCAGGCTGATGCCCATGTCGTCTTCTGCGTGGCCTTCCCTCACCATCCTCCAGTTGGAATGCTCCCACCCTCACCCAACACATACTCTCTAGCGCCTTCTCTGCGCTGTCCTTCTCCCTAGTGTTGATCACTCGATAGGCCACATCTTTTCCTTGCTTATCTTGCTTATTGTCTGTCTCCCCTTCTCTACAATGTCAGCTTCATGAGGGTAGTGCTTCTTCTCTCAACTCTATCCCCAGAACCTAGCATTCAAGTGTTCCTAAAATATCAGTTAAGCATTGCAAAAACAAGACACACTCCTGTTTTCAAGGGACCCACGTGTCAGTGTAGGAAACTGACCTCCAACGACAGTGTGACAGGTGCGACATCTGAGGTGTGCACAAAACGTTAGAGAAAGCACCAAGGAAGGAATGACAGAGGAGGTGCACTTGAGCAGAGAACCCAGGAGCAGGAAAAGCGGACAAGTGACAGGGACATCATGTCCTGACGCGTCTGGACGGGGAGATACAGGTGGAGGGAGGAATGGCTGCAGCCAGACTGAAAAAAGTTTTGAGGAGAGCATACTAAACAGCCTTAACTGCAACAAGTAGGGCAGCGATTTTCAAACTGTCCTCTGAAGACCCTAAGGGCTTCACTCCTGCCAGGCCACTTGGCGATGGAGCAAAGTCTGTTCCAGTCTCTACCCTCCCACATCCCCGTTTCAAACACAGCAGGCCAGCCTTAGCTATTTTATACACTGTGCTCTGATTAGTCCTTCTTTTGAAGGCTGTTCCATGGCCAGAATTTTGAAAACCATCTCTGTTGCCAACGGAAGCTGTGGCCTTGAAGAATCCCCAAGTCCACATAGAACCAATGATTTCCTCTCACTACACACGAAGGCAGGCGAGGCCCTGGGAGCCAACTGCAAAAACGTGCAGGTTTTCTGGCTCAGCTTCAGGAGCAATGAGGGGCAGAAACCAACGCTGGGCTTTGGGTAGGGCTCAAACCTTATCAAGGCCCAGCAAAGGACAGCGGTACAGCAGGCCTGCGCTGCACCGAGATAGCAAGGCACGCTTCCTCGTGGCACACCTGTGATTAGCTCCTGTTGCAATCCCTCCTTCCCAAGAGATAAAGCAAGTCGCTCAGGACACGCCCTCACTTAGCGGCAGACGTGGGGTTAGCTCTCCCGACTCTGGCGATTTCAGTGCATTCTTTAAAGTCCTAAACCAGCAGATAAAAACAGTGGAAGGGCAGGACTGTGTGAGGTACGGGCACAGAACCGGGCGGAGGGGTGCGGGTAGAAGCAAGAAAGGAGCGGGGTAGAGGGGAGAAGGCGGCCAGGGAGGGGGAGGAGGGGCGGGGGCGGGGAGGATCCATGCTCCCTGGATTTTGGCCAAATCAGGTTCCTTATCTGCAAAAGAAGAGAAACTCGTGCTCTGAGCCCCTGCTACCTCTCCTTCTGGACCACTTGTTTTCGAAAAGTATAACATGTACAAATGTGCCAGATCCCCATTTTCTGTCAATTTCTAGGAGGATGTGACTAAGGTAAGGAAAGGAGGATCTTTGCTTCACTGTATCATACCTAGATCTTAACGTGCTGACCTTCAGGACTCCGCGCGGGCCTCAGGTGGCGCAGAGCGAGCCGGCCCGGCTCCCGGCTACGTGACTGCGCGCTCGCCGCGCCCCTCGCGGGCCTGGTGCGCCCCCGCCCCTGGCTCGGCTGCCTGGCCACCTGGGCAGGGCGGGTCACCCCTCTCCTCTCTCCCCCTCCCCCTCTCCCTCCGCCCTCTCCTCCTCCCCTTAACCTCCCTCTCCTCCCCCTCCCTCCTCCCGCCGCAGGCGCCCTCCCCGCGCCAAAGGGAAGCGCCGCGCGCAGAGCGCAGCACGTCCCGGTGCAGAATTCCGCCTCCTTTCTCCATCCCAGACGTGCAAGGTCTCCGCGCCCTGGGAGCCTGGGCTTCCTCATTCTTAGACTGAGGACTTGGTGAGGCCCGCGGAGGGTCCTTCTTCCAGCTCTAAGGTCTGAGGCTGTGGTTTCGCGAACGTTGCTTTTCTGTTCTGCAAAAGTTGATAAGACCGTGTCTGGAAAGCGCCATGAGTTCCTTGGGATAAAAGTGCGGACTGAATTTTGTCACCTGTTGCTTACAAAATCTACTAAAATGGCATTTTAAAATCAATGTTCATTTAGATGTAATAACCATAACAACATTTCTGTAGGGCTTACTAATCACTTTAAACGTCAGGGTGGGATCCGAATCATTACTTCAATTTTACGGATGAGGAAATTAACATTGTTTCTTATAATATTAATCATTATTACTGAAAGTAGTACATTTTTAATGAAAAACATAGATTGCTAATCTATCTGTGTGTCTATATCTATGTCTTCATCTGCATCTACATCTGTATCTATATAGATATCTGAGAAACCCCTGCTGGAGCCATTTTTGAGGAATGCTCCTGATCCGACCTTACACAAAAGGAAAGGGCAAAGTGATGTTATCTTTTAGGTCAGGAAAATAAACAATTTTCTATTTTTTCCCTTCTTTTGTAAGCAGTGACATTTGAGAGGTTTCTCAAAAGCAGGTTTCTGCCGGTGCCTGAACATTACCTGACTGACTGGAGCCTAAAGAAGGGTGTGGGCGATCTGGGGGCACCTCCTGTGCGCTAAACAGTGTGTTGTGAGGTGACAGAAGTAAATGGGGGCTACAGTGTTTAGGGAAATATCTTCCTGCTCATTTATTGGTTGTGTTACATGGTAACCCCTGAAAATGGTGAGGAGGGTAGAAAGAAATGAGATTGGGTGGCCTCTGCTTGCCCCTCTTTGAGGCTTGGGTGGTGTCCAAGGAGCCCCAGGGCTAGAGGTCAAGTTGCTGGTGGGGGTGGGGGGGCAAGTGGTGAGGGTGGCACAGGAAGCCCATCTGCAGAGCCCCTTCTTACTGTGCAGTTTAACCTGGACTTCAGCTGGGAGATGCCGTGATTCTGTCTTCTATACCGTGTAAGGCTCCGAAAATCTAGCTCAGTTAACACAGCTGGCAAGTGATACCTCTAGTTTTCAAACCCAGCCATCTGAACTCTAGCGTCAGCACTGTCTCCTTCTATTCCAAAGATCCAGACATCGCGAATGTTCTCAGGCCCTATCAGAGGGATGCTCCTGGGCTGGCAGAGACTTCCAGGGGAATGAGATTATGGGTGTCTCTAATCTACCATCATCTGGCTCCAGAGCAGTGGGATTATTGGAGACAAGGCCACACAACAAGAGTTGGCAAACTATTGCCCATGAGCCAAATCCAGCCTGTGTAAGACCAGCCAGTTAAGACTGGTTTTTATATTTTTTAATGGTTGGGGGAAAAAAATCAAAAAAAGATTTATGACGTAAGAATTTATGTAATTCAAGTTTCCGTATCTATAACTAAAGTTTCACTGGCACACAGCCATGTTCATTGTTTGTATACTGTCTCTGGCTGCTTTCACATTCGAATGCAGAGTTGAATACACTTACTGTTACTCGCGGTAATTATGTCCTATAAAGTCACTGGGAATACTGAATTAGCAAATACTGAACCATTGCTCCTAAGAGAAATACAGGTTACATTCCTGCAAGCCTCTGTCCACAGATCAATTCATAACCTTATTTTATGTGTGTTTCTGTTTAAAGAAACTTTATTTTAATGTGTATTGCTTATTCATTAACATTGAACACATTGGTGATTGCACAATAACTCATACTTGGACAAAACTTAGCTAACACACGAATTTTCCCCTTTTAAGGCCCATCACAGCCTTCTTGCATATTGGAACACTAGACAGCACTTCAGCACTATGCCTGGGGGTCATTTTAAACAGCAAAATCACTCAAAAGGCAAAAATCATGATACTAAATAGTTCTCAAAAAAGACACCCGGACAGTATGAGAGCAGAGACAAGAAGGCAGAATGTCGCCTCGCTCAACCTCACAGCTGGGAACACAGGCGTCAGACGACTCACGTTTTTCCCTGCTCTGCACCTGCCCATGGATGACCATACAGGCAACACAAGTATTGACTTGGGGGTTGCAAATTTTAGTGAGTAGGTGAAGTCATAAAAACAGAACCCAAGAGTAATGAAGATCGACAGTGCTTGCAACAGAGACCATTTAGGCAGCAAAAATCTAAGATATTTACTGTTGCTAAGTAGTATTCTCTGCCTGCCCCCAAGGAGCTTCAAACAGGCACAAAGAGACCGACTCCTCCATACCAGTGTCCAGGCTGGAGGCAGCTCGTACAGGAGAGCAAAACTACGTCAATTATGAGGTCAGGAAACTGGGAGCTCCTGTAATCGAACGTGGAGAGAATTTCCAAACTCTAGATCAAAGCTGTAATGTCTTCCCGTCGCAGAGCTTCTGGTTTTCATTCATTCATAAGAAGGTACTTATCCAGTACCTTCTAATTTGCCTGGGTCTATGCTGAGTGTTGTGAGCCATTCAGAGTTACTAGTTTAATTACTAACACCCTTCTTTGGTCGGTGTATTGAGAACAGAAGTAGTGAAGGATACTTAGAAGGAGGGAAGACTTGAAACAAAAGGTCTGGCCAATTTATAGCTTGGATAACCAGTCTCTGAAACA